TAGGGAAAAAAAAACTTCAAAGCCAGTACATTTTTTTATAAACCCGTTTCATCACACGATGAGAGAAACTTTAATAAATTTATGGGGTTCTTAGTGGATAAGTTTCGTGTGGTCATTTCGCAATTTTGTTAACTTAAACTAATAGATGCATTTGATTGAGAATTTATCTATCGATCCATCGAGGATGTAGGCAAGTAGTTTGGATATCTAATCAAGACTTATCCTAAGGAGATTTTTTTTCATGTTTGCAAAAGAAAAAAACCCACCAATAACTTTTTGTTTTCTAGTTTTTATCATTGTTATCAAATCTAACTTGAGAGATGAATCAATACAAGACTCGAGTTATTTATGAAAGATGAATTAATATTTTTTTTATTTGAGAAAACTTCATACTTTAAAAAGCATATTTTATGGGTCGAGATGAACAAGTAAAACCTCAATTGTTTCAGGATATTACAAGAAATGCACTCTCTGACTCGAACTCAAAACCTGCTGTATAGATCTTATACCTTTTACCATTACACCACGCCTCTTTGGGATATTTTTTTGGATTCGAAGAAAACCCACCTCCTGAAAAGGGCATTTTATAAGCTCGGGTGAGCGATCAAAACCCCAGCTATTATAGGTTCTTACAAGAAATACACGCCTTAACTCGAACTCAAAACCTACTATGTAGATCTCAAGTCCTTCGGCATCACACCACGCTTCTAGAAACAAAAAACTTGAATAACCCTAATAAATAAAGTGAGCATTATTATTTTTACTTTATTTTTATTTTTTTAAAAATTAGAATTTACATTATGGATCAATAAAAAATTTAAAATTGAATTAAATGATTAAATTATATATATATATATATCCGACAAACTACATAATAGAAAATTTCTCTATTAGATATTATTTCTCTCTCTTCTCATTACAAACACAATTTTTGAACCCCGGTAACTTCTAATTTAGTGTTTTTAATCAATTTTTTTAATTAGTTGAACCCAAATGGTTGAATTAATTTAACCCAAATATTTTTAATCAGGCCTATGAAAAAAAAATTAACACAGCAATACACAGTAGTTTGCAACTCCTAGCATGGACACACCTGGTTGTCTCTATTTTAATCGGCACTTGTACTAAAAAACATTATAACACTCTAAGGGTATATTCAACGGCAAAAGCCATTTGAAAGAGTCAATTTAGGCCGAACAATTCTCTCTCTCTTTCTCTCTCTCTCTCTCTCTCTCTATATATATATATATATATATATATATATAGTAAAAAGTGATAGGTTAAAAAAAAAATAAGTTTCAAATCATTGGTGATAATTTAAT